ATAAATCCAGATTTTTCAAATATTAGGTTTGTCTAAATTGACAATAAGTTATATAGTGAAGAGAACACCAGGTTTGGAGCCAGAATGACACAGTTTCAAATCCCAGCTCCACCACTCAGAATTGTCCCACCATGGAAGTCCCTTTGCTGCTCTGAGCCCTAGTGGCCCCTTCTGCAAAGTGGCATAAGGACCCTACTCAGGATGCTGTGAGGGTGAAAGAAGATGGTGGCCGGGCATGGGGCTCACGTCTGTAATCCCAGCACTCTGGAAGGCCAAGGTGGGAGGATTGCTTGAGCCTAGGAGTTCAAGACAAGTCTGGGCAACATAGCAAGACCCCATCTCTACAAAAAATATACAAATAAAATTAGCCAGGTATGGTAGCATGTGCCTACAGCTCCAGCAACTCAGGAGGCTGAAGGGGAAGTCTCGCTTGAGTCCAGGAGCTCAAGGCTGCAGTGAACTATGATTGTGCCACCACACTCCAGCCTGGGCGACAGAGCAAGATTGTCTTGAAAGAAAGAAAGGAGAAGGCGCGTCTATAAAGTATGGTCTCGGCACCTATAAACACCAATTCCTCCAGTTGAATCATGTGTGAGAAGAGGCTCTACCCGAGACACCCTTATCCTGGGAACCTTTCAAACTGTACCCCAAGCTCTCATTCAAGGGTAGCAATGCCTCCCTGACATCATTTTGAGGTGGGGGCTGTACCAGGCCTCTGAAGAAACCTGGTGCTGGCTCTTTGTCAATTCCCACCTCCCTTCACGCAGCTGCCTGGCTCGCCAGGAGGCCGCTTGGAGGCTGGGCTCTGGCAACTCATCAAGCAAGCGTCCCTGCTGCTTGGGGGCAGCTTCAATCAGGGGGACGCTGTAGGAGGCGTTATTAGTTGTACCCGCGCTGGGCTTTGCAGAGTGGCCAGGGAGGAGTCTCTCTCCAGAGGGTCATGAGGTGGCTGTGTGTGTGCATTTGTGTGTGTTTACTGATCAAGAGCTACATTTGCATTTCACACTGACCTGGAGCTGGGGTGGCAGTCAGCTCCTGGCCCGTGCTCACCATTAACCTGTCTCTGTGGAGGAAGCGGTCTGGAGATCCCTGGCCAACTGGGACCTCTTAAACCCAAGCTTGGCCCCCTCTCTCATTGGGACTCTGGGCCCAGGTGAGCCTGTCTCCTCTTTCTCTCAGGAGAACGTGTATCACATGGGCCACAGTATGGCTGCCTGGGAAGGGCAGCTGGAGACCTTGGGAGACCTTGGAAGGCCTGTCACCCAGCTAGATAACCTTTAAAGTCTCTTTTAGCCCCAAGAGCCTCGTGGGTACAAATGTGAGTTCTGGAGTACAGCTTTCTAGGCTGAAATCTGAGGCTGCCACTTGCATGTGACCTTGGGCAAATTTACTTAACCTCTCTCTGCCTCACCTTACTTATCTGTAAAATAGGAATAATGATTAGTACCCACGCCGGAGTGAGAGAAGATATACATAAAGCATAGAGTTTAGCAGAGTATGTGGTTTATACCCCAAATGTCAGCTATTTATGGAATCTCTGTGTGAGGCAGTGTCATATGGGGCCATCACCCTTCTACTCCCCTGGAGACAAACTGCTTAAGCCAGGATCTGTTTGGGAAGTGAGGGGAAGGATTCCTGGGATCCCTGCTTCCCAAGACCAGCTATCCTGATCTTAGAAATTCTCTTGCTGTCCTTGTATAAAGTAGATAAAAACTCTTCCTTGTGTTCCCCAGTCACATAAATCCAGATTATTCAAATATTAGGTTTGTCTAAATTGGCAATAAGCTATAGTGAAAAGAACTCAGGGGTTGGAACCAGAATGACAAAGGTTCAAATCCCAGCTCCACCACTCAGAACTGTCCCACCATGGAAGTCCCTTTGCTGCTCTGAGCCCTAGTGGCTCCTTCTGTAAAGTGGCATAAGGACCCTTCTCCCCCTGGAGAAGCACTCATGCCTGCTCCTGGCTCTCCTGCATGGTAGAGAAGGACTGTCACTTCTAAAAATGCCCAGGAGGAGACTCTTCACCGAAATAGAAGGAAAAAGGATTTGGGGAATGATAGTGTACCTCACAATCACACAGTTCCTCAGTGAATCCTTTATTTAGTCCACAATTATTTATATAGGGTAAGGCGCACCAGATTGAATCAGAAGACCTGGATTCAAGTCCTATCTCTCTGACACATCGGCGGCAAGACCTTTCCTATCTGTGAATATGAGAAAATTGCAGCTCCATGTTCGCACTGGGGGCTCTGTGATCTGCCAGGTCCTGCATAATGCCCAGAGAGAATGTGAGGGCTGGAGGGGCTTGGTCTACACAGTGTCACAGCCCAGCTTAGGAAACACCTTCATACATTCTCTACTGCCCGTGCTCCTGCTTGGTGGCCTCTGTTTCCAGAGTCCGGCTCTTTCATTTGAATTCTGTCCATAACCCAGTTTAAATTCATTTCCTTTTCTCTGGGCCTCATTAATAGAAACCAGTATCGCAGCACCCAAAGCAACCCAGGATTCAGGCTTCCCTGCCAACACCCTTTAAGTTCCACCCTCCTTCAGAGTGGGGGGGCTGGCTGGACAACAGCAGGAGCTAACGTTGATCGAGCCTGTGTCCTGGCAGACGTTGTGCTGAGCCCTGGCTTGTAGTATCCCAGCTAATCTCCAGCAACCCAGTAAGGCAGAGCCATGACCAGCCCTGTCCATCTGGAGCTCAGCAAGGCCCAGTGACCCCCTCCAAAGTCTTCTCCCAAGGCTTCTCAGTTCCTGCCTTGGAGCCTACAGTTAGTGGGACTTGGTGGAAACCCAGACCAGCACCTCAAAGCCTGTTATCCTAACCACTCTGTCCACACTTCTTCCTCTTGTCTACTTCTAGTTTCGCTTATCCTCCTAAAGAACAAGTACTGGCCCCAGATTCAAAAGAAGACAGACACCCCTATACTACAAGCCCGGTTACCTGCACCTGACACAGAACCTACTTCTGGGTGGACGAGAAGACAATAAATGTGAAATGACTGCAAATCTCTCTGGCTTCAAGCCAGCCCATGGGTTCTCTCTCTGGGGCTGCAACCCTACTTCCTAACTGCTCTCTGAGTCATCTGGGTCTTCCATCCCCAATAGCAAACAACTGTCTACAGAGTTTACCTGGCACCGGTAAGCTCAAGATCTAGGCTCCTTCACTATCTGGTTAGCCCTGAGGCCTATTCCCCAGGCCTCAGTTTCCCCACTGGAACAGTGAGGAGCATAAAGCCCTTCCCCACCAGTGTCTTGGGCTCGGTTCAAAGCCCGTCAACAGAGAAGGGCTACACAGATCCATTTGAGGTGGCACATGGAACGACCTCTCGCTGGTCCACATCAGCCTTTCCCGATGAACCGTTAAGACCTGGCAGGGCAGAAATGGCGTCTGCCAGCATCTCTGCTGCCTCTTTTATTCCCTGCTGCCCAGCAGCCTTCAGCAGAGTCTGTCAATGGCATGCTCTGGCTAGGATAAACAAGGCATTCAGGCACTGGACGCAGGTTTAAGTCCTCTGTCTCTCTAGTTTTAAAAATAGCACATAGTAACCTACAGAGAGAGAGAGAAGTACCAAATGGAAGGCACGGACACTTGCGGGACAGAGAGAGGCTATGATGAGACGCATGTTATTCCTACATACTTATCTCCCCCGTACCATTTTAATGTCTGAGCTGATGCCTCCGACATACAGGATGCAAAGAAAGAGGATTTTCATTTCAGATGCATATGATGGCGAGGAACAATAGGAACAATATTATTTTAGTGCCCTGGGAAAAAATTAGCAAGTCAAATATTGAATCAGGCCTGTAGCACCACATGCTAAGCAGATTGCTTTGATCTTATCCACACTAAAAGCTCTATTATTGAATTTAAAGTTGGTGAACACATATCAGCCCGATATACAATGCATATCTGAATGCATGTTTCAGAAACAAGGAATGTTTTGACAAAAGGAAGAAAATATCAAAGTTATGGCTGCGATTGAAACACAAATTTGTCTTCCCTCTTCCCTCTTCTCTGGGGGCTCTGCAGGCCAACCAAAATGTTTTTGCTCCGAAGAGCCTGCTGGTGGCTCCACAAATGCCTGCTGAGCTCCTGTTTCTCTGGAACCAACAAAGTAGGGAATCCTCACCCAGTCTACTTGATTTGAAGAAAGTTGAGTGAGATTTCAAATGTGCATATGCTGCACATGGAAGGGCACCCTCTAGTGGCCATTTCTCTGGGAGGCTTACCTGGCTCCCTAAACCTCCAATACTCCAATTTCCCTTCCTCTTGATTGAGGCTGCCCTGGCGGGGGGGAAAGAACTTTAAAGAGCCAGAGAGAGGGAAGAAAGCAGCTGATTGTGAAAGTAGAAACGAATTGATGGCAAGGGGGTGGGGAAGTGTTAATTACCCAGCAGGACCCAAAAGGAAAAACAGTTTGGTGCAGAAAACTTCCTATCTAGAACAGACCCCTCCAAAGCCAAACAGCAAAAGCATATCCTAAGCCAGAGTGGGAGGGGGATGGGGGTGGGGTCAGCAAATGATGACCCATAGGTTAAATCTAGCCCTTCTGTTTCTGTAAAGTCTGAGAGTTAAGAAGGGTTCTTACATCTTAAAAAGCTAAAAAATTAATAACATTTTGTGACATGTGAAAACCTCATGAAATTCCAATTTTTAGTGTCCATAAACAAAGCTTTGTTGAAACACAGCCCCTTCGTTTATGTATACATTGTCTATGAATGCTTTTGTTATAACAGCAGAGTTGAGTAGTTGCAGTCAGTTTGTATGGCCCACGAAGTTGAAAATATTTATAACTTGGCCCTTTTAGAGAAAAGAGTCTGTCAACCCTGGTCCGAAACAACTGCCACCATTTCCAGGGCTGAATCCTGGGCATCTAGTCCCCACGCCCACGCCTGCCCACCCAGCATGAGGATGGGCTGAAGCAGTCTGCAACCCAGGGATGTGTGTGTAGGAGAAGGGGACAGGTCCCATGTCAGCACAGCCCCTACAAACTTACCATTTTATTATTGATTTCATGGAAATGAATCTCACAGACTTTCTCCACAACATCTTCATTCTCAAAAGTGACAAAGCCAAACCCTAAAGGAAAAAAAAAGGGGGGGGGGAGAAAAAAAAGAGAGGGGGATGAGTTAAGTTCCAGCAGACCCCTGTGTTTTTCTCTGATGTCCTGTAGGGTTGACAGACTCCCGGTCTAGGGTAGGTGGGCGGATCCCTGGGAGGACCTTGAGGTTGGAGGCAATGATTTCTAATTTGTACCGAGCACCCTTCCAACAGTGAGGAAAAGTTAATGATTTCACCCACATGCAGCGGGCACCGTGTGGTTTGCATTTGCCCTGAAGCAAACAAGAAATTTACTTGTCTGTTATTTACAAGGGTCAGAGCCCCGCGGCTCCGTACACCACGGCAGGTGGGTGGGCTCATGAGAGGCTCCTGGATCACTGCGGGGCCACGCTCACCCTTTCCGCAAGCAGCGATGGCCAGCCCTCGGGTCGGCCTCCAGACGGAGGCGGTTATTTGTCCTTTTCTTCCTGAATTACTTCCTCTAATACCTCATCAGGACATCCTGAGGCCTGGAAGAAACTATTAAAAGTTTCGGGCCTCTGTTCTGCGCGGGCATCCTTTTTCTACTGCTGCTTCAAAAGCGCTGTGGATTTGGGGCAGTTTAAGAATGTTTGATGCCTGCTGTCAGCCCGTCAGCTATCCACTGTATTTACTCGGCTGGAGACCAGCTTTGCCAGACAAGCCGCACTGAAGAATTTGGCAGGCGACCGCTGCTCAGCTTCCTGAGTTCCTCTCCCTACCCTCCTGCCCTTTTCCTTCTTCTCCTCCCATTCCCGACGGAGTTTCCAGCATGTGGCCCCATCTGTGACCCCACTCAGTGAGCTCTGCTTCACCACATGGCCCTACGCCGGGTCACGCCCACCTTGGACAGGGCGCAGCTGCAATGTCAGTCCTAACATGGCGAGGGAGCACAGGCGCGGATGGGGAGGTCAGGGACCAGGGTTCCAGCTCTGCACATCTATTTATGTTAAATCCTGGGAAGCCCCTTCCCCACTCTGAGCCTCAACTTTCGCACCTGCAAATTTAGGTGGTGTGACTGGACACTGGGTCCCACACCTCAGGTCACAGCCCAAATCAGGATTCACAAGGCTCTCTGCTATGCTCTAAATGTTGGTCTTGCCTCCCTCACCCCTCCTCTTCCCGCCGTCCCCAGATTCCTGTGTTGAAATCCTAGCCCCCAATGTGATGGTATGAGGAGGCAGAGCCTTTGGAAGGTGATCAGAACATGAGGATAGAGCCCTCGTGAACAGGATCAATGCCCTTATAAAAAGGCACAGAGAGCTTGCCTGTCCTCTCTCTGCCACATGAAGATGCAACAAGAGGGTGGCTGTCTACACACCAGGAGGTGAGCCCTTTCCAGAACCCACCAGGCTGGCTCCCACCCAGATCTCAGACTTCGACCTTTAGAATTGTGAGAAATAAACTTACGTTGCTCACGGACCATGGTACTTTATTATAGCAGCCCCAGCAGCCTCAGACACTCTCCTCCCCAAATGTATGAACTTGGCCAAACACTAAGCCATACACACCAAATAAGAAGGCAAAAATCAGAATGGCTGTTTTCATATTATGATAATTAGCATTTCCTATCAATGAGGAAAATATACTTGGATCTTCTTCCAGCTACTCTGGGTTCCTGCAACCTGAGATGAAGAGGGGACTTCTCAGGCTCCTTCTGGCTCCCACACATCCAGCTCTAACACCACCATCTTGTCAGGAATGACAGGGAACAAAAGCTAGCACACAGAGCTCCTACATCACAGCTCCTGCAGGGCCTAGAACAGTCTTTGGGAAGAGAATGAAAAAGGCCACTCCCTGCTCTCAAACAATTTCTAATGAAACAGAGGGCTAGGGACACTACACACAGTAAGCATGACCTTCATTACATGTCACTTGCTTCTACACATCAAACACTGGGCCAGTGTTTCCATTATACACAGCCCAGTACATTACAGACTCATAAGGCGATGTCAGACACACCATAAGAGGGACACAAGCATTTGATGCAGGGGCTCAAAGGTGGCAAGTTTCTCACAGTGCTGGCTGGTCAAAGCTGGGTCTTCTGTTGCCTCTGAGGCCTGAAGCAGGCAAAAGACATGATGATGTGTTGTCTGAAATAAGGCCCAATGAATAGCCTTTCATCAGGTTTACAAAGAACAGGTCCCTAGAGAGAAAGCTACGATGCTGTCTGGTTCCCTCTCCGGGGTGTCTCCTCCTTGGCCCTTGGTTCCAATGAACACTGCAGAGTTGGATGAAAGCCATATCCAGAGGCAGTCCTTCACTTCCCTTTGGTTTTGGGGTGCTTGCTCCTCATCCCTCCTTCCAGCACTGTTGGTTTCCCAAAGATGGTCAGCCCGCCCTACTGGGGTATATTTCAGGAAGTCCAAGTTGGAAGGAGCCTTAAAAACATCAGGTTAGCTGGGCTCGGTGGCTCAGCCTGTAATCCCGCGCCTTTGGGAGGCTGAGGTGAGTGGATTGCCTGAGCCCGCGGGTTCGAGACCTGCCTGGTCAGGCGAGACCTCATCTCTACAATAAATCAAAAAATCAGCCGGGTGTGGTAGCGTGCGCCTGTAGTTCTGGCTACTTGGAAGGCTGAGGCGGAAGGATCGCCGGAGCCCAGCAGGTAGAGGTTGCGGTGGCCGGGAGCGGCCACTGCACTCCAGTCTGGGCGGCAGAGTGAGACTCCAACTCAAAAAAAAAGAACCAAAAAACCCATCAGGTTACACCTCCCACCTAGCCAGGAACCCATGGAGCACACAGCCAGGGACCTGCATCTTTTTGGCTAATCCCCTTCTCTCTGCCCACCCTTCTCGAGCCCAGATCTTAGCTGGTTCCAGAGAAGGGATTAAGATCCAACATCTTCTCTGAGGTCTACAGGGAGGGAAGAGCAGCATTGCAGAGGATGCAGAAGCCAGCCAGCGAGGCTTCGAGCACCCTACACCAGGGCAGGGCCGGGGTCTCATCCTCTGCATGTCCTCAGGTGACACAGAACCCTGGTCACACCCTAAGTGCTGAGTGAGCAACTGAATAGCCATTCTGCTCCTCTAGGGTCTGAGCATGCTGCTCATCCATTGGGGTTACTGCTCTACCTCAAGACTGATTTGGCCCTTCCTTCTGCGTTTACCATCTGCACCTGTGCTGGGCACGGAGCTTAACAAGACACCACCCGTCAGCCACACAATTCACTCTCAGGCACAAGGCAGAGGATCCCCCCCCAGGGACATCTCCTCCCTTACGCCCCTCACTTCTAGCCTGTGGGTTACTCCAGGTTGCACCTGTCTTTGAAGGTCACCTCTTGGGCCTGGTTCCAAATCCAGGCAATTGAATAAAACAAGCCAGGATAGGCCAGTTTTTAGGGGAGCTCATTGCTGATGGGGGCGATTAGAGTGGGTGGAATAGTGGCCCTCCAAATATGTGTCCATGTTCTAATGCCTGGAACCTATGAATGTAGCCTGATTTAGAAAAAAGGCTCTTGCAAATGTAATTTAATTAAGGACCTTGGGAAGAGATTATCCTGGATGTAGGGTGGACCCTACATCCAGTGACAGGTGTCCTCATAAGAGAAAGGAGAGGGAGATTTGAGACACAGAGAAGGCAGCCATGTGAAGAAAGAGGTAGGCAGAGATAGGAGTCATGCAGCCACTAACCACGGAACACTTGGAGCCACCAGAAGCCAGAAGAGGCAAGGAAAGACTATCCCTTGAACCTTCGGAGGGAGTGCAGCCACGGAGTCCAGAACTGCCAGAGGATACATTGCTGCTGTTTTAAGCCCCCAAGTGTGTGGCAATTTGTTATGGCAGCTACAGAAAACTAAAACAGCGAGGTTCCAGGTGTCAGCCACCCTCACACAGGAGGGTCACACACTTACTCCTCCCGTCAGGCCTGCTGACTTGACCAATCATGCTGCCCTACTGGATTGAAGGCAGGAGTGTGTGGACAGAGAGCTAAACTCACCCTGGCTACCGGGAAAGAACATGAAGTCTGTGCCAGTGAAGGGCACTGCTCCACATACCCGAGGACAACCTGGTTTGAAGCCACCATGCAGCTAAGCACATGCACTTGATCCTGGAATAGAGGCCAGGTGAGTCAAGTCACCATGGGAGGCCAAGTTTGCATTTCCTGCCACAGAAGCTGCTTTTCTGCTGCAATCCAAAATCCTCCCAGGTCCACTGTGTGTCTGTTTGGACTCCAGGCTCCACACCATTCAGGACTCCCTGTCACCCCAGCTTCCTACTCTGGGCCACTACTCCCAGACAGGAAGAAGAGCGACCCAGCTAGGAGATAGGAATTAAAATGCCGTCTGTGGCGCCGAGAAGGGCAGGGGTAGAACTCGATGCATCATTTCAAATTCTGACTCTGATATTCTCCCTGCTGGTCCTTTTCCTAACCCCACGGGACTCAAAATGCGAGTATCACAAAAATGATTTTCCTGATTAAAGGAGATAGCCTGGATTTCAAGCCTATGTACCTTGGATGCATAACAATTCGGCGATGTCAAGACTCATTTGCAGTATTTTAAAGATCTATATCGCTTCAGCATCCCTGTCTGTTTGGCCTGAATAGAGAAAACAAACTTGATTATGTCTAAAATATTTATTTATTCCATTTGAGGAAAGCAAAGAAGCAATGAAACACTTAATTATCAATAAGTGTTATTCCTTAACATATCATTTTTTTAATCTCACAGATGCATTACCATTTACAATGAAATAGTGATAACTCAGTGGCAAATAACCCCCCAAAATAAACCGAGGAGTGAAGGACAAAAACAAAAGGGACAGACATTTAGGAAGGATGGAGTGTAGAAAAACTCATTTTGGCATCACAATCTTTAGCTTCCTTGAAACAAATTTTTATTGTGGCAAATTATACATAACATAAAATTTACCACCTTAGCCATTTAAATCATACAACTCAGTGGCATTAAGTACATTTACAAGGCTGTGCAAGCATCACCACTGTCCATCTCCAGAACTTTTTCATCATCCCAAAGTGAAACTCTGTACTCATTAAACAAC